TTACTTGGCTGGTACATTTTATACTATATTTTAAATGGAGTTGAGGGATAGGGTTGGGCCCCTTCCCTCCGCCTCTGTCCTGATTGAAAGGACTAGTTAGATTCACTACCTTATTAGAACAAAGTATTAAATTCTACTCAATGATGAGAAATAATTAATTCTGGACCGAAATGTAAGTCGTGTATTATCCGTGTCTATGATCTGCATAAACATCCAACTTATATTGTGATAAAGAGATTGAATTCACTTCATCGCATGCTTAATTAAGTAACAAAACGTAACAATAATTTATATAATAAATAATCAATGTAATATAGGCTTGAAGCATTACCAAAATTTCCCTTTTCATAATTTAAGCAAAATCTTCTTTTTATTCAAAATTCAAAATTTGTTTGATAAGTCGAGAATTATAACCAACAATTTAAGTGAATGATTTTTTTTCTCATCAAATAAACGGTTTCAAACCATCATCTTGAATTTAACGTAAAATATCAAATGTTCGAACACAAGAAAAAAACCCATAAATTTAGGTATAACATAAAATGTCAATTTCTTGAACACAAGAGAAAAAAACTACTGAATACCGTGCAAAAAATTTAACACAAGGAATTTTTTTTTTCAAATATAAATTGTAATTTATCATTTCTAGAAACTTTTACTTGACGACCCTATGAGCATTACTTGATCAATCCGCTACGCGTTCATACAACCCGTTCAAATCTGAAATTTTAATAAAAGTGAGTATTTAAAAAAAAAAGAAAAAAAAACCAGTAATTAACTTTCCTTCTTATTATAAAATCCTACAAAAAGAATGCATAAATCGAAACAGCAAGATCATATATGATTATGCATGAACTCGGAACTTCCCAAATTTGGAATAGAATGAAAAGAATGTGAGTTCATCAAATATGAATGTGTTGTCTCAACAGGTATAAAAGAAAACCCATAATCCAACCCTTCAAAATCAAGAAATTACTGGAATACTAGTCCCTAGACCATGCAATAACACCAAAACCCAGTCCTAGAAATTATTGGAATAATTGTCAATTTTTCGGTCATCGGATTCGAAAATCACAAAAAAAGAAAAAATATATATATGATGAACAAAGAATCCAAAGTGTTGGGATAAAAAAATACAAGAATCTAGAAGGAAAAGAACTCCCGCAAGATTGACTATTTAAATTATCGAAAGCCAACAAAGGAAAAAACAATGAAATAACCATAGGGTCATCTCCCGATGCAGGCTATTTTATTTATTAAGTTGTTGTTGTTATTATTATTATTATTATTTTGATGAATTGGAGTGGAGCACATTAAGGAAATTGACGACGAGAATTTGGTGACTATTATTTTATAATTCAAAGGCAGGATTTGAAAATTAAAGCTATTTTATGAAGGACTCTTATCTTATCATGTTGGCTCTGATGCCAATTATTGAATTTAATTGTAATCATGATAAGAATCAAGAATCACGAATTAATAAATTGATATATCAAACTCATACATGTGGAAATCATTGTTGATATGAATAATAGCAGTTAGATCTTCCCCTCCTTACTCCTCACAAAACATCAACCGTCAATGGGGCAACCTAATAAAACAATATGGAGAGAAAAGGGGGCCTAATTTTTATATAGAAAATTATCAAGCCGTCTAATTATGACTTAAACTATAATTAGAGTTTACATATATTTCCGGCTCACATACTTAAAATTATTACATCATATTAAATATAGTCTATAAATTGTAAAAGGTTCAATTGATCACTTAATAAATTTGGTACAATCATAAATATCATTATGAGTCGTACATCTAACTCATAAAATTTACAATCGAATGTGAAACCTATATTTGGAGTTATCCAACAAGTATATGTAGAAGATTGTTTAAATTACAGTAGTTAAAAACAAAGGAAATAATATATGATCTGTGTGTGATAGTTTGCTCTTTTGAAATCATACAGTCAGCAGAAAAGTATGCCCAAGGAGATTGAAGGGTTGAAAAATCAAGTGACAGGTATACTGACAACTCGGGGAAAAGACATGGTGGAGACAATGAAGCCTATGATTTGTACACTGTTGCAATGCATTTTCATCTATTTAGGCAACATGACTACCGTATATCTTGTGGTATCTTTGAGAAATTCATGGATGAGAATGGAAAATTCAAAGAGAATATTAAGAGAGATGCAAGAGGTTTGCTGAGCTTATATGAAGCTGTGTACTTAAGGGTGCATGGGGAAGATATATTAGAAGATGCCCTTGTTTTTACAACGGCTAACTTGAAATCCATGGCACCACATCTAAGCAATAGACTCGAGAAACAAGTAACTCATGCCCTTGTGCAATCCATCCATTTTGGGAACCCGAGAATTGAGGCACGTAACTTTATCTCTATCTACGAAGAAGATGAGTCAAAGAATGACTTACTGCTGAGGTTTGCCATAATAGACTATAATGCATTGCAACT